TTTTTTTTATGTGGTTGTGTGTTGTTGTTGTATATATGTACACACACAAAGTTATTACTGTGTATTAGTTGTGTTATTCTTAGAACATCTGTATTAGTGTAAGTATTGTTAGAAGAAGACCATTAGTATTAGGATAGTGTCTCGTGATAGTTGTATTGTTAGTAGTAGATAGTTGTATTATTAGTAGTAGACATTTGTACTGTTAGTATTAAGATATTAGTATTAGTAGTAGATGGTAGTATTGTTAGTTGTAGGAGAAGCTAGTTTAGTTAGTTGTGTTAGTAAATTTGGTATTAGTTTGAATTTAAATATTGTTATTGGGTTTTAAAATTAACTTAAGGGAGGGAATAAATCTTTATTACAACTTCATTTGTGTCTGTGGTTGATTCAATATGTGACAGAGTGGAGATAATTGTAGGGAGTTTGTCAAGAGCTGCTTCAGCTGCAGCATCGACTTTTGAGGGAACATTTTCCAGTCTAAGTCTAGAGTCTTATTTTTCTAAGTAACTTTTGCAGGAACCGTTATCAAGGATAGGGCATATTCATGACTTGTACAAGTGGAGGAGAGTTTGTTTGATCCCCTACCCACTCGGAATTCGAAAATTCTTTAAACAAATCGAGAGCCTTAAGGCACTTTTTCTTTAGATATTTGATTTATGGTAGGATTGTGGGACGACGGTCAAATATGAGGTCCAAGAAATTACTACCTTGATACCATCTGAAACTAAATGTGTATCCTTTTGTTGTTTGTGACATGCAATGTGTGAATACAATTAATTTTAATGGTTTCTATATTTGTTGGCCAATTTGTGAATTTTGTTAAGACATAGTTGTACCTGCCTTTCTATTTTATTCATATTTATACAACAACAAGAAATGTTAAAATCATCCAAAACGAGTGTGGACACAATTGTTCAAACTGACTATAAATTGTGATGCTAAAACGTGCCCGATCTTTCTTTTTTCTGTTGTACTTGAAACCTTTGAAATTGAGCTTTATAATACATGATGAGGAATGGTTTCCCTAGTTTGTTGGCAATTTCAGATTTTGTTGTTGATAGTGTATTATTTTTGAGATGGTAAACTTCAGAGTGTGATTCTTTGCCCTTAATCTGTTGAATGAGGTTCCACAACTTAGACATGGGTGTGCTGGAATTGATTTTGCATACATAGTTCCTCCACGATTGGCGTTTATTATGTTTAACAATACTTCTCACTTTGGCGCTTGTGATTTTAACGCTATGCAGGTTGTGGACGGTAGAATGTCAGGGGGAGTATTTCTCAGTTTTCTTCCTATTTTTCCTGCTTGTTTACATTCATTATCGAACCATGGTTTATTTGAGGGTTTTGCAAATAGTTGTATAGGATCAGGAGTATTCCTGAAATTGTCAGGTTTTAGTCTTTCTGGACATAGTGTTTGGAACAAAGACCAATTGGCCTTTGTAACGTTCCACCTTGTCAACAGGATTTATAGTCGTAAGTATTGTTGTAAAATGGTCACTTCCACCAATGTCGTCATGGTTGGACCATTCAAACTTGCGCAAAATATCTGAATCTGTAAGTGAAAGATCCATCATTGAAGATGCATTAATCGTTGCTTTTAGATAAAATCTTGAAATCATAGAGGACGTTTCCCTCATTATATGTATCCCTCAGGGGATTAAGACCGTTTCAATTGTCCACGATTATACAGAGCGTCCATGGGAGATATATCACGCGAACGTGAGGAAGACTTTGTACCACTCCTATTTGTATCATTCTGAGAAGGAGTTACCTCAAAGTCCAGAGGACCAAATAAGTTATGCTGCTTTTACCTTAATACTTTTCTTCGTTTTTGGTTCGGGTACTGGTTCTGTTGTCGGAGGCTCGACAGTTTTTACAGTTTTTGTTTTGGGAGGTGTCACAGACAAAGGTGTCAAAGCTGGTATTTCTAGTGAAGCGGTCGGACGAGGTTGAACCGATTTGACCCATATCAGTCTGGCAGTAATAGCAACATTGGCGACTGGAGCAGAGTAAGAAATAATAGCAATGGCTACAGTATGACTGGCAACCATTTTCTTAGCTTCTTGGAATGGGATATATTTTTAATGAATGAATTGGTACATTAAGGAAGAGATTTAGTAGAAATCATTTATGGTTACCTCTGAAGTGGTTGGTTGGTTGGTTGGTTTGTTCTTTAACGCCGCACTCAGCAATATACCACGCAATTGGGATCGATGACATGTATCAACCAAGTCAGCGAGCTTGACCACCTGATCCCGTCAGTCGCCTTTTACGACGAGCATAGTCACCTTTTACGGCAAGCATGGGTTGCTGAAGACCTATTCTACCCCGGAATCTTCACGGGTCCCCACTGAAATGTGTACACTTGGATTGGGGATATACTCATCCACTTGAATGCAACAATAAACAGCTTTGATCGATTGAGGGATTGATGGTCGCGCAAAGGTGAAGAGATAAGTGTTTGTTAGTTCAACCACACACACCGCCTTAACAGTAAATCGTTTGACAGCTGTGACAGATTGTTGATCCATTTCCTTGGCGATTTGTTCTTCGGTCATGCCGGACACATAGCGTACTCTGTCATTGAGAATGCCATCACACGGGTTCAGTGTCTTGTGCAATGAAACAGCAACCGTGATATTGACAAACTCTTTAAATTTGAGCAGATTGACAGATTGCTGTCTCCATGCATATTTTACAAGGACAGAACCGGAACAAAGTTTGGTGATATTTGAAACCTCTCTGCAGATACCAGCAGTACCCTTAGATATTGCAAATGAATTAGATTTGATTGGTTCTTTGCCTCAAACTTCAGTAATTAGAAAACGAGTCCAGTCGTCAGATCGAATCACACGAGGAATTGTCAGTTGCTATGTTTTGTCTTTTGTAACCAGGGTGTTGAAAGGAAAAAAGATTCAATTCCCCTTTTTCCCACCAACCACAGAGTGTCAACAAGAACAGTCTTTAGCTGCAGCGGATCCCCCAGCTGCAAAGACCGAGGTTAAACTCCAGCAAATTTGATACGAAAAGCCATAGCAATCTACCAAATATAAAGTCAGGCTAGTTCGGCCCATGACAATCAATTGTACAAGCCACCAACTTCTGGAAATTGGGCCCTAAGCAGGTTCATAGATTGATAGATAAATCATCATTTATTACAAAAACCAAGACCAATTACACAGTTATTTTAGTGAGTGAGTGAGTTGGGGTTATCGCTGCTTTTAACAGTATTACATTATATCGCGGCGTGTCAGCTTAATGTGGGAGGAAAGCCCGAAGTGATGCATGCCTCAGACGTTTACCACTTCGGTGAAAACTACGAGCACGGGTATGGTGCTGACAAACCTAGAAACATAATCGGTGCAAACATGGATTCGAACCCACAATCATAGGTTTTCGGCGTGCCCAAGGGACGCAGCTCTGCACACCGAATTGCGGTGCCTTGGACGACTGGGCCACCCGTGCCATACCTGCTATATGGCATTGTATTTTAAAGAATTGTGATGATAGTAACCGTTTATGTTGAGATTCGGCAGACGTCCATTGCATTGTATTTGGGCATTGATTAGTCGTCAGGAATGTAGTGCCATTTAATGTAAGCAGTTGTCAGGAATTTACTATATTTAGATGCTGGTGTGGTGTCTAAACTTCCGATTACCGCGAGAGTGATAGTATGTTATGGAAACTTCTTTAATGTTCCAGTACCGATGGACTGACGAGGTCACTGCCTGTAACTTTCCAGTGGCTTGGTAGGTTGTATACAAGGGGACAATAGTGTGTGTCGGTATCACTCACACTTCATTTCACAATGCATTGGATATTACATCTTTCGTGTGAAAATCAACCCTAATTCCCAAGCCCGTCTCGGAAGCTTGACCACTTTCGCACCTGGGTTAAAAATACTATTATCACTAACTTTTGCTATCACCACAGTATTTGTGTATTTGATACTGACCACTCGCATCATATTATATATTTACACTAGGTTCTTTAACATACAAATTTCTGGGTTAGCATATTGTTTCATTTTGGGATCGACACGTAGCACTGTCAAATGTTTCGATGCCATGCATTCTATCCAACACAGCAGTGTTACTGCGTAGCCAACTGACATCATTTAATATAAATAATATGAAATATTGTACTACCACTCTATTGTTAATTGCTATTGTAATTGCTGTGCAATAATGTGTATTGATTTGTTAACCTAGTTAATTTTGTAATACTTTTGTTGATTGTGTACCATTTGTTGGTTGTTTGTTGGTTTCACCCAAAATTCTTTTAGGTACAGATTTCTGGGTTGAATATTGTTTCAATTTTGGAATCGTTACGTAACAGCACACACCCAAGCTTAAACGAACACGATGGGGATTAACGCTTGGCCAGCTGCTGGACAATTAAGATGTCACTGTTTATTGCACCCAAAAATGATGTTAGTAAGTAATAAAAGCGTACAACTTTGTGGATGGCAACTTCAGGTTTACTGCATATAGCGACTTTTCGATGTAGATTCTTACACATTTAGAATACCCAGCAAAGAATTATGTTAGTAACAAAATGCGAGTAATAGACTGTTAAATGTTAATTAAATTATTGTTATTTAAATATGCCACACATTCCATATTTCATGCAATGTTGGTATTTTTTGTAGGATTAACAGAAATAGCAGAAACTCTATATGTATAGCTGCTAAGAATCACATATCAGCCAATGAAAACTTTTCTCACGGTGCTCCGACGGCACCTTTAGGAACCTTTAGGCCACGCCCCCAAATATGTTGGTTTGGAAACTGATTTCAGCACTTCCACTTTCAATCATATTATGAACTTTTCTTCCTCAAGAATTGACCAAATATGTCTTGTGAAAAGTGATATTGGCAACAAAATCTTAATCAGTCTTTTTCTATTTACTAGCCTTTTAAACTGTCATAATACAGAAAAGTTACTCCAGGCCTTACATTCAATCTGAGTATATGACACAATAATAGTATATCTTACCTTGAACATTAGAGGCTAAAAATAGAGACAACATGTAAATTGCTCTTGGAAACAACACAACGCATTAATTACATATTTAAACTCCTTTTATAACTGACTTTCTCTTTGAGTCCGTTCAATGGAGTATGAACCTTTGAAGCATGAGGGAAAAACTCTTTCATCATAAAATGGCAAATCTGTGTATGCTGTAACATCAAATTACAAAATATATTGGCAGGTCAGCTCGTATGTAGTCGTCGTGGTAACCTTGAAATATTATATCGTAAAGTGAATGTTAGGTATACGAGTACCTTGTGCATTACGTTTTTAGATCAGTAGTGAATTATACTTACACAAACAATATACTGCTCGGTGGATGGGAGCCTGAGGCAAAAAGTAGATAGAAAAGCCATCACATTGTTGCCGGTCTATTTCGAAGGGAAGCGAACATGCGTCAGAGGGAGATTGAACACACATGGAAGATCTCATGCTGGTTGATCCTGTAAATACAAAACGACAATGCATTAGTGTAATTCATATTCGTATTCAGCAAGAAATAGTAAAAGTGACACCAGATATTGCGAAAAGGATGAGGTCAAACACCAGATAATTATAGATCAGCTAGTGGCCATGTTATAACGACGATTTACCAATCCTGTAATGATCCTTTATTCTGTCTTACCACTACAACAAGTGTCATTATATATGGTGTCACTGACTCCACTTGAAGTTAATGGAAAAATCGTTTCATTACATGCAAAAACAGATAGAAATCCATCCCAACCTTTTCCAGAATGCCTTCCCATCAGAAACACGTATCATTAGCCATTTTGACCAAATCAGGTGAGCGCTTAGGTGACCTCAACAGTATCTACCTATAATTATCTTTGATACCTCATGTTGTATAATGGAGAACTACTTAAGCCTATGCCTCTCGCTTATAGAATATATCTGAGTTCTATTTAACTGGAATCACTTCTGGTTTGGTAAGATACATTCCCAACGTATCACAACTATTCCTCAAGCTGTTTAAAGTTATCACGAATTCCGGTTGACTGATTTCACTTTCGTTTGGGGGCACACATGCCCTATGCAAAGCAATTTCAAGAAAATCATTTGTATAATTAAGCAGACTGTAACAGAAAGTGGCATGTACCCTACTAAGTTATTAACAGAATTAGAAACATTTTACTGAAATGGTATCATTTCTGGATTAGGAAAACACGTGCCCAATGCCATACAACTTTTAAACCGAGTCATATGCCTCTTAACTTACATAGTTCAAAGCATTTCCATTTTAACTTAATCATTGCTTGAATATAAGGAATGCAGTACAACCTAATGCAGAGGGCCCTGCATTAGTAAGAAAGTTATAAGTTTCCGGCTTAATATGCCATCACTTTCGGGAACACACACATACAAGCCAGCACAACTTTTTAACAAATTGACATATGTCTGTAGCTAACTCGAGCAGAGTTTTAAGGTTCATCATTTCGGGCGTTGCTCCCCATTAGGCTGACACGTCATCATATCATACACGTAAAACGTTTACATTAAATGAAAATAATTTGTTCCAGGAAAAAGTGGAAAACAATATGCATTTTTTCTGGACATGATTGATGTTAATTTAAAGATGTTAATAATAAAGGAAATACACTTATTCGGATCTCCAGTTTCATATAAACAAGTGTGTGCTTTAAAGCAGCGACTGAAAAATATACAAACATGACCTGCCAGAGGAACCAATTACCAACGGTACTTATATCAAGGCGGGGACTGGCAAAACACATATCTCTCCAATATCTTAAAAACATATATACTGATGATTACGTCAAACACATGGATTACCATTTATCCATATTGGATACCATCCTCCACATTTATAGAATCCAGGGGATTCGTCAACCAAGGTGTAATTCGTGTCGCCGTACCAGCCTTCTTTCAACTCGTTGTCGTCGATGCTTGTTTCTCCATTGCCAAGTTCGTAGCTGGGATCTCGGCGGTCGGAATCGGGAAATGGTTTATAGATGGCACAGGGATCTGAATAAAACATAAGCGATAATACAGATCTGACTAACACGAGATCAAATTCAATTATACGATTTACATGGATGTTAATTGTATTCAGTGTAAATCTTGTATTTCGCAGTAATATACTGAACCGCAAAAGAAACGTCACCCCAGGTAATATTGCATGAAAAGTTGTCATTTAAATATCTGGGTAATTTTTTGTCAAAGATTCTAAAATTCAACATCGCCTTGTCCGGAAAAATGAAATTTGATGACAAAAAACAAAGCATATGACAATAAAACCGATCACCCAAACGCATCACGGCAACGGCCATGTTAACATGTTGCACGTGATTTCCGTGCAAATTGAAATGCACATGCGTTCCCCCATTTCATGCCCTATAAAAATCCACCTAGGTTGGATAACATTCATTCGTTTTGAATTGCTGCCACATGCCAAGATTGACACGAAATCAGCGACACAAATCCCTTGGACGATTGCAAGCTGGACACACCGCACGGCGAGTTGCCAATGCATTTCAAGTCCACGTAAGGACCATATACAAACTCCAGCAACGGTACCAGACCAACAACACTACAGATGGCCGTTCATGTAGTGGAAGGCCAAGGGACACCAACCAACGCCAGGATCGTCAAATTGTGCGACAGCATCTTCAAGATCGCTTTGTTACTGCTGCGGAAACTGCTCGACAGACCATGGGGACACACCAGCGACACATTAGTGCGGACACCGTGCGTCGACGATTGACGAGCCGACACATCCACTGTCACAGGCCACACTGAGAACCCATTCTGACACCATGTCATCGCCGGGACCGTCGTCAGTGGTCAACACAGCACTAGCATTGGCGCCACCAGCAGTGGAGAAGAGTCTTCTTCTCAGACGAGAGCCGTTACTGTATCTCAACAGCAGTTAGCACACAGAGAGAGAGAGAGAGTCTGGCGATGCCGTGGTGAACGTTATTCGTATACTTGTGTTGTTGAGAGAGACGCGTGGGTGGTCCGAGCATCATGGTGAACGGAGAACTGAACTTGCGCAGAGGGTCGGCCCTGCGGTTTCCAGAACATTGGTCGAGGGAGAGGCAGTGGTGTCACAGCAGCTCGGTACATTGATCAAGCCTTGAGACCACATGCCATACCTCATTGCCGCAACCACGAGTTTCAGCATGATAACGCCCGTGCCCACACTGCGAGAGCAACAAGAGACTTCCTCCAGCAGAATGGCATCAGACCCATGCAGTGGCCTGACCTCAGTCGCGATTTAAATCCCATTGAGCACCTGTGGGATGAGATTCAAAGACGGCTGAATTGACGTCCGACCAAGGCCGACAACTGCAGCTGAACTGCGTCAGGTGTTCCTCAGAGTGTGGGCTCAAGTGCCTATGGCCTTCATCAACCGCCTCATCCATTCCACGTATCGACGTTGCACGGCAGTCATCAATGCACATGGCGGACACACGAGATACTGACTTGCGATGCCATTTTCTCAGAGACCAGTGTTGTGCTTCACTTTAAGAACATTTGACACTTTAATTTCAACTTTGATGATCAGTTTTGGCAAGTTTTATCTTTTTTATATGTCTTAAAGTATGTAAACGGTGTTTGGACAAAAAAGGTTTCTCATATATCTATCCATAGTGACGTTTCTTTTGTGGTTAGTATATATCCAAACAACGTATGTGGCAGTCAGGTAACCGTTTTGAAATACTATTTTGGCGAAATTACTGAGCCCTTTTTAGTAGATTGATGTGTAAAGTTCAATTGCAAGGACCATTCGTATTGCGTTGAAGTAGTGGTTTGAACTTTCTGTATTTCACAGTAATATGGCAGCTGACAGTAGTATATCTCCACAGGTGTCAGCGTTGAAGCTGACATTTTGTTTGCCTGTTCGCTTCAATGGTGTCATTATATTGCTCACAGGGGTATGAAGTACGTCTGGCACTTAAACCATATCTTTACATGTAATCTTTCCACCAACTGAGTTATTCATTTAAAGAACATCGCATTTCTTCCCTTAGTTTCTTATTTCAACAAGAAAGACTTATTTAATCAATAGTTGATAATGAATGGGCTAAACATCATTGAAAATAACGAACATCACTGATCGACATGAATCGTTTCAGTTAGAATGACAGAATATGGAACGAGTATTTAAAGGAAAGATTCTTCAGTACTCTACCTAGAATCGCTTTGGTGACCACTGCGTGAAATAGTACAACGAACAGGGGTACCAGCGTCATACTTCGGCTGAAATAAGAAAATGAGACATTAGAGATTTTCAACTGTATATTCACCATCTTCAATACCCCACGGGTTTGTATGCATGGCTCCTGCCTCTCTCTTGATTACATACGGGCGCTTAGCTGTATAGATGTTACGTGTGCATCAGCTCTACTCCATGCATGGGGTTTGTGTGAACCCTACAGTTTCCTCATATTGAAACAATGTGTTGAGTACACAGACAGAAGGCAGTGTTTGGCATTGATATCTAAGCACAAACTATGGTTGTATAGTATGACCTCTTGGCACTAACAATGGCTGTATGTATCACCTCTGAGCACAAAAATGGCTGTATAGTGTGATCTCTGAGCACAAGCAATGCCTATATAGTACTATCTCTGAGCACAAGCAACAGCTGGTATAGTATGATCTCTCAGCACAAGCAGTGGGTGTATAGTATGACCTCTGAAGACAAGCCATGGCTGTATAGTATTATCTCTCAGCACAAACAGTGGCTGTATAGTACTACCTCTGAGCAACAGGAATGGCTGTATAGTATGATCTCTGAGGACAATCAATGTTTGTATAGTAGGATCTCTGAGCACAAACAATGGTTGTATATTATCTCTGAGCACAAAAACTGGCTGTATAGTATGAACTTTGAGCACAAACAATGGCTGTATAGTATGATCTCTCAGCACAAACGATGATTGTACAGTCTAACCTCTAAGCACAAGCAATGTTTGGATAGAATGACCTCTGAGCACAAACAGTGGCTAAATAGTATGATTTCTGAGCACAAACAATGGCTGCTTAGTATGATCTCTGAGCACAAACATTTCATGTAGAGTATGACTGCTGATAAAAAAACAATGGCTCTTTAGTACGACCTCTGAGCACAGGCAATGTTTGGAGAGTATGACTTCTTACAACAAGCGATAGCTGTATAGTATGATTACTGAGCACAAACAATGGTTGGATTTTATGAACTCTGAGCACAAACATTTCATGTAGAGTTTGACCGCTGATCAGAAACAATGGCTCTTTAGTACGACCTCTGTGTACACGCAGTGGCTGTATAGTTTGATTACTGAGCACAAACAATGGGTGTATAGTATGATCTCTAAGCACAAACAATGGTTGGATAGTACGACCTCTGAGCACAAACAATGTTTGGATAGTATGACTTCTTGGAACAAGCAATGGCTGTATAGTAGGACATCTGAGCACAAACAATGGCTAAAAGAATTATCTCTGATAACAAACAATGTTTGGATAGTATGATCTCTAACCACAAACAATGGCTGTATAGCATGACCTCTGACCACAAACTGTGGCTGTGAAGCATGAATTCTCTGCACAAACAATGGCTGTATAGTATGACCTCTGTGTAAAAGCAACGGCTGTATAGTATGACCTCTGAGCACAAACAATTCCTGTAGAGTATGACCACTAAGCACAAACAATGGCTGTATATTATGACCTCTGAACACAAACAATGGCTGTAAAGTATGCCCTCTGTGTAAAAACAACGGCTGTATAGTATGACCTCTGTGTAAAAACAATGGCTGTATAGTATGACCTCTGAGCACAAACAATGGCTGTATAGTATGATCTCTCAGCACAAACGATGATTGTACAGTCTAACCTCTAAGCACAAGCAATGTTTGGATAGAATGACCTCTGAGCACAAACAGTGGCTAAATAGTATGATTTCTGAGCACAAACAATGGCTGCTTAGTATGATCTCTGAGCACAAACATTTCATGTAGAGTATGACTGCTGATAAAAAAAACAATGGCTCTTTAGTACGACCTCTGAGCACAGGCAATGTTTGGAGAGTATGACTTCTTACAACAAGCGATAGCTGTATAGTATGATTACTGAGCACAAACAATGGTTGGATTTTATGAACTCTGAGCACAAACATTTCATGTAGAGTTCGACCGCTGATCAGAAACAATGGCTCTTTAGTACGACCTCTGTGTACACGCAGTGGCTGTATAGTTTGATTACTGAGCACAAACAATGGGTGTATAGTATGATCTCTAAGCACAAACAATGGTTGGATAGTACGACCTCTGAGCACAAACAATGTTTGGATAGTATGACTTCTTGGAACAAGCAATGGCTGTATAGTAGGACCTCTGAGCACAAACAATGGCTAAAAGAATTATCTCTGATAACAAACAATGTTTGGATAGTATGATCTCTAACCACAAACAATGGCTGTATAGCATGACCTCTGACCACAAACTGCGGCTGTGAAGCATGAATTCTCTGCACAAACAATGGCTGTATAGTATGACCTCTGTGTAAAAGCAACGGCTGTATAGTATGACCTCTGAGCACAAACAATTCCTGTAGAGTATGACCACTAAGCACAAACAATGGCTGTATATTATGACCTCTGAACACAAACAATGGCTGTAAAGTATGCCCTCTGTGTAAAAACAACGGCTGTATAGTATGACCTCTGTGTAAAAACAATGGCTGTATAGTATGACCTCTGAGCACAAACAATTCCTGTAGAGTATGTCTAAGCACAAACAATGGCTGTATATTATGACCTCTGACCATAAATAATGGTTTACAGTATGATCTCTGAGCACTAACAATGGCTGTATAGTATGACCTGTGTAAAAACAACAGCAGTATAGTATGACCTCTGAGCACAAACAATTCCTGTAGAGTATGACCACTGAGCACAAGCTATGGCTGTATATTATGACCTCTGAACACAAACAATGACTGCATAGTATGACCTCTGTGTAAAAACAACGGCTGTATAGTAAGACCTCTGTGTAAAAACAACGGCTGTATAGTATGATCCCTGAGCACAAACAATACCTGTAGAGTATGACTAAGCACAGACAATGGCTGTATATTATGACCTCTGAACACAAACAATGGCTGTAAAGTATGCCCTCTGTGTAAAAACAACGGCTGTATAGTATGCCCTCTGAGCACAAACAATTCCTCTCGAGTATGACTGAGCACCAACAATGGCTGTATATTATGACCTCTGAGCATAAATAATGGTTTACAGTATGATCTCTGAGCACAAACAATTGCTGTATAGTATGACCTCAAAGCCCAAACAATGGTTGTATAGTATGATCCCTGAGCCCAGACAAAGGGTATGTATTTTTACCTCTGAGCACAAACAATATTTGTATAGTATGATCTCTGAGCACAAGCAATGGATGGACAGTATGACCTCTGAGCAGAAGCAATGGCTGCATAGTGATATAAGGGAGATAACCCTCAATCAGGAAGTTCTGGTGTTGTTGTGATAGCGCGTGAATTGTATCTGTAATGTTGACAGTTGTAAGTATGGAATGTTACCTTGATTGTGTTGAGTGTTGTCATAGTGTTCTGGAATGATTGTGTGTGTGTGGTGGTGATCGTTTGTCAGTGGTGCAATGAAATGTTAACGAATAACGACTTTTGACCTGAAGCAGCGAGTTCTGTTGTCTATCAAAGTATTATCTGTGAGCACAAGCAATGCCTGTATAATATGATCTCTGAGCACAAACAAATGCTATATAGTATGTCCTCTGACCCGCAAATAATGGGTATAACCTCTGGTAAAAAAACAATGGCTCTTTAGTATGAACTCTGAGCACAAGCAATGGATAGTATGACCTCTGTGCATAAACAATGGCTGTATAGTATGACCTCTGAGCACAAACAATAGCTAAAAGAATGATCTCTGATAACAAACAATTTTTGGATAGTATGATCTCTAACCACAAACAATGGCTGTATAGCATGCCCTCTGACCACAAACTGTGGCTGTGAAGTATGAATTCTCTGCACAAACAATGGCTGTATTGCATTACCTCTGAGCGCAAACAATTCCTGTAGAGTATGACCACTCAGCACAAGCGATGGCTGTAAAGTATGCCCCCTGAACACAAAAATGGCTGTAAAGTATGACCTCTGTGTAAAAGCAATGGCTGTATAGTATGACCTCTGAGCACAAACAATTCCTGTAGAGTATGACCTCTGAGCACAAGCGATGGCTGTAAAGTATGCCCCCTGAACACAAAAATGGCTGTAAAGTATGACCTCTGTGTAAAAGCAATGGCTGTATAGTATGACCTCTGAGCGCAAACAATTCCTCTCGAGTATGACTTAGCACAAACAATGGCTGTATATTATGACCTCTGAGCATAAACAAATGCTTGACCTCTGTGAAAAAACAATGGCTGTATAGTATGACCTCTGAGCACGAACAATGGCTGTATAATATGATCTCTGAGCACAAACAAATGCTTGACCTCTGTGTAAAAACAATGGCTGTATAGTATGACCTCTCAGCACAAACAATTCCTGTAGAGTATGACTTAGCACAAACAATGGCTGTATATTATGACCTCTGAGCATAAATAATGGTTTACAGTATGATCTCTGAGCACTAGCAATGGCTGTATAGTATGACCTCAAAGCACAAACAATGGCTGTATAGTATGACCTCTGAGCACAATCATTGGCTGTATAGTATGATTCCTGAACCCAGACAAAGGGTGTATATTTTTACCTCTGAGCACAAACAATATTTGTATAGTATGATCTCTGAGCACAAGCAATGGCTGTAAGGGAGATAACCCTCAATCCGGAAGTTCTGGTGTTGTTGTGATAGCGCGTAAATTGTATCGGTAAAGTTGACTGTTGTAAGTATGGAATGTTACCTTGATTGTGTTGTTTGTTGTCATAGTGTTTTGGAATGATTGTGTGTGTGGTGATGATCGTTTTTCAGTGGTACAATGAAATGTTAACGAATAACGACTTTTGACCTGAAGCAGCGAGTTCTGTTGTCTATCATTGGTGGAAGCGGCGGGATAACATGTTTCTCACTTGGTAATATTAGTGCTGGCGTATCACAGTGGGACGAGTGTGAAGGGGGTGATATTGAGAGTCATTTGAGTCAATTGGAAAGTTTCTTCGTTGTCAGAGTCATCACTGAGAAAGCCAAGAAAGTAGCGTGCGATCACCTAGGGCTGAAGGGAGAAGCCCAACGA